AGATTTAGAAATTACGTTCGTTTCATTTTTTAAATCGCTTTATCATTAACTGTACCCTTAAGAGCGGCATCTTTTGGTTTAGTACAAATAATATCTCAGAAACACTCGGGTTAGACAGGAACATGATACTAGCAGTAGTTTCATTTTACTTTTACAAGCTTCTTAAAACAATTGTTGAGCTAGCTAACGTGCTCATTTCTAAATTCAATTTCTTGTTCTAGCTTTCTGTTATGTTTCGTAAAAAAGTAGTCTTGATTATCCCGACCTGTCAATCAGCCCTAGAATGGTCGATAGACTGGTTAAGCGAGACTAATTTCAAAACAAGGGCACGTAACCTATCTTTTACTCAAAAGTGTCTGGATGTTATGGACGACACATGGAACCAGTTTTCAGTCTATTATTTATAGATGATTAATGGTCATAGCTTATTAAGTACAACATGATCGTTTATTTAGTGACTATAATTGTGTGAAACTGATTTGAGGCTTGGCATATATATAAATATTGTGGCGAAATTGTCGAGATATATGGAGATATTTATTTATGGTGGGTCACCCTACCATGGTATAATAACGATTGCAAATCCGCCCTGAAAAGAGCGTGATCGTATTATAAGACGCCTTGATAATCACCCTTCTATGGAGAATGATGCAGTATACCAAATGGTTAGGGCGATGACCTGTAGAACCACACGCCAAGCAAAGAAGTATTCGTGGCCAGGTTTTGTTTCAGGGATAAATTCACGTACTAATTGCCCTTCGCCTTTCGAAGAAAGCCGGGGGGCTATTTAAATGGGTTCGTCCGTCTGTCTGTCTGTCCGTCACACTTTTTAGGACACAATAACTCTCCTTCAAATTGAGCTAGAATGTTCAAACTTGGTGTAGGTGTTTATTAGTTCAGTGCCTTGATGAGGATTTTCTGCTTAGGGTAAGCAGAGATAAGCAATGTGATTGGTTGATGCTTTGGGACACGATAACTTTCGTTGTAATTAATTGGGAGTTAAGAAACTTGATGTATAGTTTCATTACACCAATACCTTGATTAAGTTCGATAATGAGCATTTTCTGCTAAGACTGTTCACACTTGGCATAAGTGTTTATTAGGTCAATGCCTTTGCGTAATTCGAAGATGGGAATTTTCTGCTTAGAATTAGTAGAGATAAGCAATATGATTAGTTGATGCTTTGAGACACGATAACCTTAGTTCTAATTAAGTGAGAGTGATGACATCAATACCTTGACTAAGTTCGATAATGAGCACTTTCTGTTCAGGGTAAGCAGGGCGATGAGCAATTTGATTGGTCTCGACTTTGGAACACAATAACTCTTCTTCTAATTGAGGTAGAATGTTGAAATTGGTGTAGGCGTTCATTAGGTGAATGCCTTGATCTAGTTTGATAATAATCATTGTCTGCTTACGGTAAGCAGGGATAAGCAACCTGATTGGTTGATGATTTGGGGCACGATAACTTTGGTTATAATTAAGTGAGAGTGATGAAACTCTGAGTACAGATTTATTACTTCATTACCTTGACTAACGCGTGATAAGCAATTTGATTGGTCAAAACTTTCTGCTTAGGCTAAGGAGCGATAAGCAATTTGATTGGTATAAACATTGGAACATAACGACTCCCCTTTTAATTGAGGTAGAATGTTTAAACTTGATGTAGATGTTCATTAGGTGAATGTCTTGACTGAGTACACTGATTAACATTTCAAGCTAAAGCTAAGCAGAGCTAAGCAATTTCATTGGTCGATGCTTTAGGACAAGATAATTTTGATTGTATCTGGTAGAGAGTGTATAGTTGATAATCAGTTTGATTGTTTGATACTTTTGAAAAAATAAATGTGCGATTAATTAATTTGTGTCATCTATTTATTTTGGGATTGCGGCGTGGGACACCGGTATCGCTGGCCTGTTTGTTCTCAATTGTGAGTAGACCAGGTCGTCCCAGAGCAGTTTTGTGTTGCAGGAGGTGGGTTGTTTGGTGATGGGTTTTTGTTCTCAGTTGTGAGTAGACCTGGCCATCACAGGGCGATTTTGTGTTGCAGGAGGAGGGAGTGGTTGGGGTGTCTGATTATATTTTGACCTTTCCGTGTGTTGGTTTAATGGAAATTTCTTCCCTTCATTATCCATAATACATAGTGTTTGGTGTTGGGCCATTTTTTCTACATTTATTCCCCCTTTGCAAAGCAAACAGATTGAAGAAAATTTGGATCAAAAGGCAATCTTTTCCGATAATTCTAACAGTGAACCGTGAAGGTTTTCGATATGTTCAGAGAAAGATTTGATCGACTGTGTTAAGTGGAATATACCCAAAAATACTTTACAAAGGAACTCTTGGAATATAAATGCTTTCTAGTCTTGGAGTGTGTAGAGAAATAATCAAAATGTGGACGAAAAGAAAATTCTGACAGGAATCTTAGACATGGATATTAACAGATCTAAATATGCCGATAAGTACGCCGTCTATTTCGGTGCTGAATGCTACAAACTGTACCATAAAATGTTTTAATTGTCAAAAGAATAAAAATAAAAAATTATTTCTGTGTTCTTTGTATTATTTCGATCAACAACGTCATCAGCGGTTGATATGAACCGAATATATCAACCTGGGATCAACATGAAATGAAGTAAAATATGGTTTAACGTCCTACTTTTCTACACCGACTGGGTTAAAGAAGATGGACAAACGTCCTACATTATGCTATACACAACTGTCGAGGACTGGCTGAAACGTCCTAAGCCTGAAAAGGATAGATCAATTAGGTTTAAACAAACTTTTGCAACCAACAGTATTGTCTTCCTACCAGACCATATTATGAACATACCCAGAAAAGGACAAAACTGGCCATAAGGCAATCATCAATATGACGTAAAAAAAAAGTTATGCCCATTTACATTGCTGCAAAAGAGACGTAGTTTACAATGAATGATTTGGTTGTAAACGAAACGAAAACGTTTTATTAAATAAAAGCAAAATATATACTTCTCAAAATTCTGGAAGTTATACTTAGTGTGTTCAAGTAATATTGTCGATTTAGGACTTATATTGTCGGTCAGCTAGCTTTGCATCTCTTCTCAAGCGACTATATATATTTCGAGTGAACCTGAAAATTGTCTACAAGGTTTTTATGTGATTGATTTTAGTAGCCTAGGGTGTCCTCGTTAAGAATCTGCCGGGTGAACCTCGGTCACCCTTGGCGTTTTGATAAATTCTAGATGGCGCCCAAGACGGCCACCATTTCAAATTTTGTATACCGGACATCCGGCTAACTATTCTAATGATAGACGACTAAGCGCACAATGTGACAGGTTTTCTTACAATTTTATATTGTGGTATGTTCGCCGTGATTTGATTTACTGAAAGGTAAGAAATTGGTCTAAAATCGTACTTACTGGTAATTAAAGTTAAGTTTACTTTGCAAGAGTTATTTCCTTGGACTGGATCTGTTATAGTACGTGAATGAGAGGGAGAAACCATGTCTTTCTTGGACTAACACATGGTTCCATAAAACTCACGAGGTTGGACAGGCGATGCAGCTCCTTGTTGATCCCCAAATCCCCAATGAGAATAATTATGTGTTACACACTTAGTTATATTAAATCCATATTGCGTTATTCATGAAAAGTTGTCATGACTAATATAATAGCTTGGCTAAATGTCTCTTATCGCGTTAACTTCTTCTAAATGTCACTCAAACAAGGCTAATATAATTAGAAGGCAATTAGGGAATGATTATAGCCAGAACGACTTCCCTTATCGTGCTCTAGGTTGTTGTTTGGAAGGCGGATAGAGTACATTTTCTATATTCTTTGATTCAAACATTAGTTTGCCTCTTAGAGAAATGAATGCCTTCAGGTGTTTAGAAAATGCCTAACACGTGTTTTTCATAGGTGCAGCCATTATTTCATATTTGTTGTATACAAATATTGAATTGGTACTAGTTTATGAATTACTACATGAATATATTATTGATTCTGAATACCATAGGCCTATATTTTGCATTAGCTTATTAGAACATATACCCTGTTGTCATTAAAATCGGTATAAAATCTATCATTGCTGTCGGCTACATCACACGCATGGTGGGGTGGGGGTAAGGCGGTTTAGAATAAAAAGCCTCGAACAGTCTAGATTCACCCGCTTGTACGTGAAAAGGAGATAGTCCCGAAACGACCTAGTGGACATTCAACCCGGACTGAACAGTTTTAGAACATAAAAATTTGAATTGCCCAAGAACGATAAATCACAAGGGTGTATGGTGACAGGTAGGACTTTGGGAAGCCTATGAAAAGACACGCACAAAAACACCAGAGCTATTGCAACCAATCGACTTGTCTCACTGTGGCGTTAATCACCCAAAATTGACAGTAAAGAATACGTCTGAGATTTTAAGTTCAAGAATCCCAATGGGGTCGGTTTTTTACCAGAACATCTCTCAACAGTTCAAAGGACACGGCGGCACACACACCCATCGAAAGTAAAATTTACAGCATCTCGATGTAAAACATAGATTTGTGAAAATCAAAGGAACTGATTTTTGAAATTTCTAAACGAAAAAAACTAAATTGATTTATAGGTTACTTTATTGAATACAATATATAGGATTAGGGTGTATAGTTTTATAGTGTATGGATAGTAAAATATATAGTTATGAAAGATTGAATAAAAAAAAAGATAGGTTTTTTTTTCTGAGATAACATGGTAGTAAAATTGATTCTCAAAATTGATTCGTGTGTTGATTCTAAAATGATATAAAAAAATCACCATTATATTTCGATTGAAATATGGGCGTATTATTTTGTCGGTTAAAATGTGGATCTATAAGTACACACGAGGGCGTATTCATATACAGATTTAAAATGTTGGCGTATTATTGATTTTATTGTGGGCTTATTAATATAAAGTTCAAATTTGGAAGTATTAAAAAGCCGATTTAAATGAAGGCGTATCATTATACAGATCTAAATATGGGCGTATTATTATGTAAATTAAAATGTGGGCTTGTCATAATAGAGATTAAAATGTGAGCGTATTGTTATACAGATTAAAATGTATTATTATACAGCTCTAAAAGTGGGCGTAACGGATTCAGATATGGGCGTATAATTATGCAGGTTTAAATATGCGTATTGTTGCGGCTACCCCATTTCCTGGGGGTGTAGCGGGGGGGCCACAACTGGGTTATATAGGAAGAACAAAATACCATCAATCTTTAAGACGCCATCTTTAATCTCGATCTCCTAGTGCCTAATTATCAAGCAACACAAATCATAGATACAAAGTGTCTGGTTAATCGAATATAAACATGCATCATCGACATGACCTTGGCATTGAATAAGTAAAGAGGTTCTAAAGGATCCGAATTAGTAATATATAAGTAAATTATAACAATGCGTAAAACAGTGGAATAACATAAGATATTGGCGTAAAGAGGGGAAAATGGAATATGCAAATATTCCTACTCGACAGTATTAATATACAAATCTGAATCTAGGTGTATTATTATACAGTTCTAAATGTGGTACATATTTCAATGTTGACATACCATTAAAACGAGTCGAAGCGACATGTAAATCTTAATCAGAATACGCATATAAGATTTTTTTTTTGGCCTTATTTACAAAATACCAACAGTTCGAGAATTTCGTTAATTAAATTACTTCAATTCCACTTCCTCAGTGCTGGGTTGTTTTTTATCTTGTTTTGAATCGCTGCTTGCCTTCGGTGATTCAGGACTACTAAAGGGGAGTTGTTTACCACACAGACCAAGCCACATGTTAGCAACTCGTCGATTTACCATATAAGACAGGAAGATAAAAATACCTTGACCATAGTTTAAAATTGTGGATAAGACGCTCAAGATATCATGTAAGAAAACCTTTGATAAAATATCGACCGTCCAGAAGATGCCGGTTAGTGTCGATAGTTTTAGGTATACCATGATATGCTGTCGATCGTTACCAACAAGTCTGGCATTATTAGAGGTCTTATTTATCGATATTATTGTCAGTGATAGGAAAATAAAGTTACAAATAATTACTAAAAAAAGTGGCAAATAAAAACCAATCCCCACTGCAAAGGGCGTTTCTAAGTAACATAGCCGCCCATCATAATCAAGAAAACCATTACTCGCCAAAGCCCACCCAAACACCAAAACAACCATAATAATCAAGGGTAGGCCATTAGCATATAATGTATATTTGATGAATCGTTTGGCGGAACTTGGTATTCTCGACACAGTTGATAATCGGAAAACAGAAAACATGTGATACGAACAAACATTCATCCAAAAGACAACGGACAACCATGAATAAAGAATTAGCATACCCAATATTTTACAAATAATATCATTGGTCGCCTGAAAGCTTCCGATCAGCAAAAACAGTTGCGCCAGAAATAGACATACAACGAGCGCCATATTGTTTTTTGAGGCCGATGTCCTCAGAATCGGGAACGTGCAGTATGTCAGAAACGTTAGAAATAGAGAAAGTAATGACAGGACCAAAAAGCCTATTCGTAACCTGAAGAATATGCCATTTTCCTGTTCCAAACTAGATTTCCATTTATCATTGATTGTCTGTATACAGATCGTTACGCTGTTTTGCTGATCCATGTAATAGTCCCCTTTATTTAATCTTAAACTCGTGTTGTATAATGTTAAACTGCCATTCAGTCCGACTTTAAATTCTAAATAGTCTTGTACAATGTGCGGACAGAGGTATTGCTCATTGAGCTCAACAATATGTGTCCTTGAGCGATTAAAATAGGCAATCTTGTCTTTTTTACAGCAGGTTAATAACACATCATCAGAAACGATTTCATGTGATATGTTCCGACTGTGTGATACTGTCGAATCATGTGTCACTTGTTCGCCAAATTTCCAATTATCTTTAATGAAAGATAAAATTTTTGTTAGGTTTCTGAATCGCGATTTTTCTAAGAAAAAGTATACATGGATAAATGCGTTATTTGAATAATCTAGAATTCCAACATATGTTGCATACGTGGTAATTCTTAATGTCTGCAAATCCTCTTGTATTTTATTTGCTAGAAGATCCATTTGTGCCATGTAGAAGACGTCGTCTATTGTAAACAGGATATGGTACACCGTCCTAAAATCGTCTTGTCTGGGAAGACATTCGCCATTTTGTAATTGGAGCTGTGGTGCACAATCAATTTTATAGCACCTTCTCTGAAAGTTTAACAAGACAAATGATCAGAACTTTCGCCTGTTATAGTTCATGCACTAGTACACTTAAAGCTGAACTCCGATTACAAAACTACAGAAATAATACATAAAATTATAGTAATTGTGTAGCAATAATATTTTCCGTAAGCTGATAGTGAAAAACGTCAATCAGTCAGGAGGTAATTGGTAGTTGACTAGCTAACCGGATGTGGACACTTTGCTTGAGACTGCATATACTGGATGTGGGCGGAGCCTGCCTGTGTATTTGTTACCCCTAAGCGATCGTCATGTTTGTTCTACACATTGAAAACAAGTATGGCGGTTGTTTAGGGCGTTAACTTTTTTTATTTAATTATTACTGAGTTCAGCTTTAAGGGTGGTTTTCTGGGAGCCACGGCCCTGTCTCCCTTAGAAGGAGGCCCAGGGTTCGATCCCTTGACATGCACGTAAAATAACCCATTTCAATTGAAATTCAATGAAAAGGATGTGGAAACGCCCCTGCCCAGGCACAAGTTCCCCCATATCTGTCCTAAGCCATGATTTTTTTCATTAGTCCGGGTGGTGGAGAAAGACAGAATATTAACTCCCATGTCCCTTCATTTCAACTACCCCTCTTTTGCGACAGGTGTTTATAAAACTAAACGAAATATTTAGTCTGTCACAAAAATGTGGCCGAGCGAAACAAAGGACTATAGATCACCTCAGCACAAAAATCGTAGAGCCGCGCTTAACATCAACTATAGTTAAAGATGCATTATGCAAGAGCTAAATCTGCCTATTACAGGTCTTTCTTTAGGCCTTAGTTATAGGTTACATAAATTATTAATTAGACATTTATTAAGATACATTATGCCTAATGCAGAACTTTCTTTAGCCCTTAACGGTTATATAAGACATTTATTAACTTGTCAAGACCATAATCAGCTCTCGATGCCATCGAATTCTCTAGCTTTTCAACGAATATAAGCAGGATTGGCGATTATGCAAGAGCTAAATTGCCTATTGCAAAATTTTTTTGGGCCTTAACTGTTATATAAATCATTGATTAGACATTTATTAACTTGCCAAAACCATAATCAACTCTCGATGCCACCGAATGCTCCAGCTTTTCAACGGATTTAAGCAGGATTGGCGATTAATGACACATTAACGAAGGCTAGTTTCCGCAAGTGCGCAGTCTTTTCGTGACATCTCGTGTCAATCTGTTGGGGTTATTTTCAATTCAATGCAAAATACCAAATGCCCCCACCTCCCAACAAAATAAGATGTGCCCCGAGATCATCCTCGTCGCCCCTACGATACGCTTTACTCTTGTTTCATACCTGATATGGATGAAACCAGCCCACAGAAGAAGAATTACACATTCCAGCCACACTTGAAGTATAAACACGATGAAATAAATCTGGTAAATTAGGGTATGACACTGTGTATACTGTAAATATGACGCCACTAAATTCAGTGTTCGCCACCCGTCCATATTCTCCTCTATTACACATATAACAGAAAACATTTTTAAACGCCCCAACATCTGGACGATAAATTGGACCATAGTGTCGTTGACAGTTTGTTTCTAGTATTTTGGGGGAATTTATTTTGCATGTTCGAATCATATTTCGATCACATTCTCTTATAGTTTCCATCTGTTGATCAAATGAAGACTGCTTTATGTATATGTCATTTTCACATGAAAACAATTCTAGTACACGGCTACTCAATTGCATGTTTTCTCCTCTCATATCCAATTCCCATTTCTTATATTTATTCTCATAGTTACAAATTGCACAATATTTATTCAAATACGTTATTCCACTTTGTGATGTCACGGGCAACATACCACAACCACTAGGTGGCATTTCGCATAATTCTCGCACTCCCATATCAGAATAATTATCCGCACAAGACATCTTTGTGAAAACGACCCTTTCCATTTTTGTCTGATTAATTCTATCTATGCACTGAAATTTGTCTTGTACAGGTCGGGTATGTGCCACAAGAGTGCAACAATCACCGCTCACATGACATGAATCATCACAATAACAAGGCTGACACTCAAAACCGTTGCGACGCATCAGACCCATTTCTAGCTTTTCTAGAGGAATATTGGTTTCTTCAATACATTGGCTATTACATTCTATAAGTTGTACCACTGGAAAGTATTGGATAATCTCATCAAGCGTCCAATAAAAAAGGGTCTTTTGCGTTAGTGGCACAATATCGGTCTTTATTTTTATCTCTTCTATTCCTTTTGGTCTTTTGATCCGTAATACGTAGTCAAACGTATTATCAACGGCTGTATTGAGGCTGTTTGTATCGTTTGTGGTAACTGAATAACTGTTATCAGGTTCTGCTCCAGGTGTGGTAGGCTGTAAATTATCTACCGTTGAAGGGTCGGGTGCTAATGCTGGTAATACAAGGCACCACAGAATAATTGTTTGCATGTCTGAACGTCTCATTACGAACGGTCTTCAGATTCTATGTTCACCTAAAATAGGGAAGTATATTATCATCAAATAGCTGTTTACAAATCCTATTGCTGAAACCGGGAGTCAACCGGGAGACTTAGGCTCGCTAACCAGAAGGTCCCGTGGTTTCTCCTTGGTTCAGGACAGAGGGCCTGGTAAAGGATAGTCGTACGGTCGAGACGAAAGACCGAGGTCCCGTGTACATATTGACGTGCACGTAAAAGACCCCGACAGTTGAAATTCAATAAATAGTTAGGCCGTAGTGCCAATGTCCGGGCGAAATTCCCCTCTCGGAGCACTGTATGACATATGCCCGTCTTCATTGGTGCATTGACGTGCACGTAAAAGACCCCTTGACAGTTGGCATTCAATAACCACTATTGCCAATGCCCTGGCAAAATTCCTCTCTTAGAGCACTGTATGACATACGCCCGTCTTAACTGGTCCAATCGGAGCAGAACAGTAGGACGTGAAGCCCCACTTCATTTTAAACCAATGCTCCAATTAGCTATTTGTAGTGACGGTGTCGTGTACGGGATAAGTACGTTTACTTTTTCTGTAAGACCTGATACCATTTCCCATTTGTGGAGTTCACACAGCCAACACCCACATGTACGACGTTTCATTGTGTTCTCAATTGTAAGTAGACCCGGTCGTCACGGTGCGATTTTTATCTTTCCATGTGTTAGTTTAGTGCAAAATGTCTTCCCTTTATTATTTATAAAACATACTGTTTGGTGATTGGTCATTATTTCCCGTGTACACATTGGCGTGCACGTAAAAGATCCCTTGACAGTTGGACTTCGATATAAGAGTAGGCCGTAGTGCCGCTGTCCGGGCAAAATTTCCCTCATAGCACACTGTATGGCGTATGCCCGTCTTCATTAGCCCAGTTCGGAGCAAAACAGTAGGACGTTAAACCCCATTTAATTTCTAGAATTATTCCCCCTTTTGCAGGTCGGACAGCACGAGGAGCCTAAGATGTAAAATCGTCTAGTCTTTCAGATGGAACGTAGAAACGAAATACAATTGGCAAAACAACCTTACATCCTAGCACACAATTCATTGTTGCAGAAAAGTAGGACGTTAAACCCAATTGCATATCATTTATTATTTCCTTAAAAGCATTACATATCAATTTTTATTTGATAAGAAGCATTTATTACCTGCGAACAGTTATTGCGTCTGGCTAGATCATCTATTAGAACATCCCGGCATGTGTTTGCCGTAGATAACGAATGTTATTAATAGATAAACTGGTTTTTTTTGTTAAGATATTTGAACACAACGCCTGTACATGTGTATTACGTTTTTAGTACACCACGGGTATGATAGATGGCAAAGACCCAGAAACTGAAATGAAATGAAATGAAATGAAATAGGGTTTAACGTCCTACTGTTCTGCTCCGAACTGGGCTAATATTGACAGGCATACTTAATACATTGTGCTGTGAGGAAAATTTTGCCCGGACAGCGGTACTACGGCCTACTCTTATATCGAATTCCAACTGTCAAGGAATCTTTTACGTGCACGCCAATGTGTACACGAGACCTCGGTTTTTCGTCCCATCCGAACTACTAGACAGCTGTCCCTGTCAGACCCTCTGTCCTGCATCCAGAAACTAAGCAGGAAGCCACGTCTATAAGTTTGATTTGTGATCACCTCTTTTCAAGAGCATTATGCCAAACCATAATTCAGCTTGCCTTTTGGTATCCAATACAAACATTAGCAAAATAAACAAATCTTCATTGCAATATATATTCAATCTGGACAGTGTATTATTGTACATATATCTATTGCCGATTCATTCCTAAGAAATATATCATGTCTGTTAAGTTAATCCATATACTCTTCAGATCATCATGTGTGTCAAGGGAGTGACATGGTTCGATTCTCAGCCGGTACGTGCCAAGGAGTAGGGAGGGACGCATGTCCAAAGTTGTGGTTTTTATGAGCCATTTTAGATTAGTCCAGAAATGACCTAGTCTGTGACAGCTGAACATAAAAGCCTCCCCCCTCCCCTCCCCCGATCCTCCACCAAATCCCTCTCTTTCTTTCTCTCTCTCTCTCTCTCTCAAATAAATCTGGTTGGAAATCCGTCCACGCACTATAACCGATCCAGTTCAAGGAAATACATCATATTTATCATATAGATACTGTCAGAAATCCGACCACACACGGTGGTTTTGAGAATGCAAAGTAAACTTAGCTTTAATTACAATTGAGTATAATTTAAGACTAACTTCTTACCTTTTAGTAAATCAAATCACAGCGAACAAATCATCATATACAAAGTTTTAAAAGCTCTTATATTGTAGTATTAGTCGTCTATTTTTAGAATAGTTAGTCGAGAGTCGAGTCGGTATACAAAACGCCATGGTTAATATCCCACGTTTAGTCCAGATGCAAATCTTATTTAAAGAGGCAGTATCACTGTCATCGATGACGTATGCGGGATTTCTAAATGAATACGCGCGTATGGAGAAGCCGGCATGGGCGTTAACAAACTGATTTGGTGTAATTTGATATCAGATTTTGCAACAATCAAATGTAACGGCAGGACAATTTATCCAATACTACTCAGTACTAATTAAATACCACCACAGGGGTTGAATAATGCAAACAAAATTGACCTACTTTATGGAATTAGCAAAATATTACGATAAACTAGACAAGTCTATTTATAGTATTAGTACCCGGTAGCCCAAGCGTCTAAAAGACTTGCCAAATATTACCAAATATCTCCCAATTCTAACCCAGTTCTACAATAACACCTTATTATTATACAAAATTGACAGAATTCTGCAATTATATCAATATCAATGAGTAAACTTGTATAATAATTCAAACATTTGAATAAATATTTATTGTCCACAAACAACTATATTGTTATCCAAATAATTGTACTTTTATATCATTATTTTGTTATATTGGTCTAGTATTTTATAGACATATATTGATTTTAATAGCATGGTATAAGGGAGATAATTAGAATAGCGAGAGATTTAACAATCACAATTTCCGTACATTTTTTTTTTGCATGGTTTCAACGATTTAGATTGAATTTCATAGGTTTACAGTGGCAACAAGCCAAAATGTAACGTTAACCAGCGGTTGCCATGCAAGATACGCCCACATTTTGCAATGGATAGAGAACAAGCTAAAAAAAAAACAACACGCGATTTTTCGTACAATCAGGGGCCATAATCCGGTAAGTTATGGTCTGAAAGCGCGAACACAGAAAGGAACTGCGATATTTGGGATATAAACATATATTTTACGTTTCATCAAAATCGGACAACAATTGTGACCTGTAGAGGGTCCACAATCTTCTTATTAATACTTATACACATTTTGCGTACAAGGAGCGGCCATTTTATCTGGCAGTTTTGTATCGGTTTTCCCGAAATTCGAACTCAATCTTCATTATGGTGTTACGGCGATATCTTTAAACATCACTGACAAGGGGGAACCAAGCCGGAAAATCTGGATGAACTTTCTCGGCCAATGCAGGGATCGAACACCCGACCTCCAGGCTAGCGAGCCAGCGTTTTTACCCACTTGGCCACCGTGGCCCCCTCCACCCACAATATCCGTGGACATGAAAATGTGGACGCATAACAACAGTGCATAGAAACAGTTTTCTGAACACCTGATTTTAAATAATAATGCATTAGACCATGAATGTTATATAAATTATTGGGGGGGGGGGGCGGATAGTTAGCGCGTGCTCATTGTATCATAAGGTCTGTTATTGGGTCAACTGGCGTGGTTTCGATTCAACAGTTGTACGTCGCAAGGAGTAGGGTCGCCTGTCCAGCTTCGTGTGTTTTCTCTGGGTCCTCCGGTTTCGTCCCACTGCTAAAAAAACCTACCGGCAAGCGAAATATTTAAATAAAATGGAACATATGTTAGTCCCGAAATGACCTAGTTTGTGTCGAGTTGACGTTAAACCCATCTCTCTTTCTCTCTCCATCTCTCTCTATCTCTCTCTCATATGAAAAGTTAAAGATAACTACTCTTAGGTATTAAATATACAAAAATATAAAAGTTTTTGAAAATAGAACTACATTATTTGTTGATTACTAGCACTTTCGCTTATTTGATTTGGGGGGGGGGGGGTATGTTTCTGTTGATTCTATATATAGATTGCAGATCCTTAATATTTTTTAGTGTTTCGTTCCGCAATGAAGGAGTAGAAAAGGAGAAGGCACGTCTTCCTTAGAATACTAAGTTGACTCTTATCAGAGGACCTAAGCCATCGATGAGAAGTCTGTGGAGTAACTAAATCTATCATATAAGATGGAGCTGTATTAAACTTGACGCGTTCTTCAGTGGGTAACCAGTGCAGATATTTAAGTAATGAAGTTATATTATATTGTCATATTTTCTGGTTGAAGAGAAAAGTCTTGCGGAAGTTATCTGAGATTTAAAAGTTAAGTGCGAATCAAGAATAGGACCTGTATTATTTGCTTCTTCTGTTGGAATTTCAGCTTTATCACAGAGAGTTTCTTAAGTTGTTGTTTAGTTTCAAGTATAGGAACAATCAAACTCAGACAGGTTTTGAAGTACCTGGTAGTGAAACTATACACTAAGTTTTATCACTCTCCATCAGTTAGAATCAAAGTAGTTGAAAAACCAATATCATATACACGTATTACGAAAACCAGTTGGGGGTCAATAAGTTCGTATTTTATACGCTACACAATTTTATGAAAGCTATTGAGCACTTTGTCACAGTCGTTGGTCAACCAAACTTTACATAGTTCTACATTTTGTGTGCAAGAAGTCATTTTACATAACCAATAAATGAATAAAAATGTCGTCAGCGTAGAAGCGATGTGGAATGGATATGGATTGGTGAAGATGGCCGAACTGATTCGTGCATGAAATTAACAAGGGAACTAGTACAGACCTTTGGGGAACGCCATATTGTAATAAAGTCTGAATCTAACCACTTTAAGGAAGTACTTGTTATATCAAAGTCGGTATCTAAACAGTTCAGGGACCGAAAGAGGTCGAGCATATCAAATGCGGCTGAAACTTTCATGTGAACAAAGAGGGATCACCCACCCCACCCCACTCTAAGATTATTGATAACATAAAGGCCGTTTCTGTGCCATGTTTAGATCTGTACGAATATTGAAATTCATACAATAGATTTTGTTGATTTAGATGTTCAAAAGGCTTATTCGTGCACCTCGTGGGTTTTCTCCAGGGCCTCCGGTTTCCTCCCACTGCTAAAGACCCCTACGCGCAAGCGAATTATGTAAATAAAATTAAACCATATGTTAGTCCCGAAATGACCTAGTTTGTGTCGAGTGGACGTTAAACCCCATTTCTCTCTCTCTCTCTCTCTCTCTCTCTCTCTCTCTCTCTCGCTTATTCGTGCAGCTTTTGTTTTTGAAAATTAATCAAAAGTTCTTTAAAATATCTGTGTCCAATGTTGGCATTTGGATCAATGGTTTAACAACCATGTGACGGAACCGTACCAGATATCAAGCTACCGTTGATGATACATGATAGGCGATTTTTTGTCTTTATTCCGCTGTACGTGCCATGCGTGTCTTACTTCTCCAGGCGACAACTGCAGAGTTCAGTGCACTTCTATTGGGCCCTTTCTATATTTGACTAGTTCGCTGAAGGCCATTATCGAGAGTTCACCCCAAACTTTCTGAAATAGGTGCAAGTGGATCTGTGGCTCAATAACAGAAGTATGTGGCCATTTCCTTTTTATATTTATTTTGCATACTTTCACTTTCTTTTATATGAAATATTAAACAAAAACAAATTACATTATACAGAGATAGCTTTATGCATGTAGTACATGTACATTTAATGAAAATACAGATTTATTATACATGTATCAGGCATACATAATTAAACATGGGCGAATTATTATACAGATCTAAAATTGGACGTATTATTATACGGATTTAAAATGTGAGCGTGTTATTAAAACGAAAACAAACGTAATTTATACTAGAGTATTCAAACGCGATTTATTTTTCAAATCACCAAAAATTCGTGAATTTGATTAATTAAATTACTTCAATGTCACTTCCTCAGTGACGGGTTGCTTTTTATCTTGTTTTGAATCATTGCTTGCCTTCGGTGATTCAGTGCTACTCAAAGGGAGTTGTTTACCACACAGACCAAGCCACATGTTAGCAACTCGTCGATTTACCATGTAAGACAGGAAGATAAAAATACCTTGACCATAGTTTAAAATTGTAGATAAGACGCTCAAGATATCATGTAAGAAAAAGTTTGATAAAATATCGACCGTCCAGAAGATGCCGGTTAGTGTCGATAGTTTTATGTATACCATGATATGGTGTTGATCTTTACCAACAAGCCTGGCATTATTAGAAGTTTTATTTATCGATATTATTGTTAGTGATAGGAAAATGAAGTTACAAATAATAACCAAAGCAAGCGGCAAGATAAAGGCTACACCCACTAAAAGGGGCGTTTCTAAGTAACATTTCCTCCCACCGTAACCTGGAGTGCCGTAAATAATGGAAAACGATGAAATCACCATAGCAACGATAATCAAGGGTAGGCCATTAGCATATAATGTATATTTGATCAATCGTTTGGAGGAACTTGGTATTCTCGACACAGTTGATAATCGAAAAACAGAAAACATGTGAAACGAACAAACATTCATCCAAAAGACAACGCACAACCATGAATAGTGAATTAACATGCCAGTTATTTTACACATAATATCATTGGTCGCCTGAAAGCTTCCGATCAGCAAAAACAGTTGCCCCAGAAATAGACATACAACGAGCGCCATATTGTTTTTTGAGGCCGATGTCCTCAGAATCGGGAACGTGCAGTATGTTAGAAACGTTAGAAATAGGGACAGTAATGACAAGACTAAAAAGCTTATTCGTAATATGATGAATATGATATTTTCCTGATACAAACTTGATTTCCATTTATCATTGATTGTATCTATACAGATCGTTACGCTATTTTGCTGATCCATGTAATACTCCCCTTTATTTAATGTTAAACTGGTATTGTATAATGTTAAACTGCCATTCAGTCCGTCTTCAAATTCCAAATAGTCCTGTACAATATGCGGACATATATATTGCTTATTGAGCTCAACAATTCGTGTTCTTAAGAGATTAAAATAGGCAATCTTGTCTTTTTTACAACAGGTTAATAACACATCATCAGAAACGATTTCATGTGATATGCTCCGACTTTGTGATACAGTCGAATCATGTGTCACTTGTTCGCCAAATTTCCAATTATCTTTAATGAAAGATAAAATTTTTGTTAGGTTTCTGAATCGCGATTCTTCTAAGAAAAAGTACACATGGATAAAGGCATTATTTGAATAATCTTGAATTCCAACATATGTTACATAAGTGGTAATTCTTAATGTCTGCAAATCCTCTTTTATTTTATTTGCTAGAAGATCAATTTGTGCCTTGTAGAACACGTCGTCTATTGTAAACAGGATATGGTACACTGTCCTAACATCGTTTTGTATGGGAAGACATTCACCGTCTTGCAGTTGTAGCTGTGGTGAACACTCAATTTGATAGCACCGTCTCTGAAAGCATAACAAAACAATGATCATTTAAGGGTGGGGTTCTGAGAGCTGTAACGATATTTAACTGTATTACGATTTGTATAATGTAAACTACCCGGATGTATTCATGATGACGTATGTCCGAGATAGTTAGAAATGGCTGTTACATAAACTTATCAAACTCGTTACCCTGTCTTGTCTTTTGCCTACATAATGAACCTGACCTGGACAAGAGGTAACGAAACAAGAGCCACGATGACTCAGCTAGTAAGGGATAGGCTCACTAACCAGGAGGCCCCGGGTTCGATCTCGCTATGATTTTCTAGCCTAAAGGTTTCGACATTCAGATCGGACGAAAACACAACGCTGCATGTTCACGTTGGCATGCACGTAAGATAAATCTTGAATCTTGTCCAATGGAATTCGATGAAGAGGAGAGGGAACCCCCCTATCCGCAATAATGTCCCCCATATCTGTCCTAAGCCATTCTTCTTTTTTTTTTAGCCCGGTGGTGAAGAAAGACAGAATGTTAAAGCCCATGTCCTGTAGCGACAGGTGTTTATAATGAACGTAACTAAACGAAATATTTAATAACGAGTCCGTTACAATAATGTGGCGGAGCGACGCAAATGGCCAGAGAGAGAGAGGGGGGGAGGGAGAGAGAAATGGGGTTTAACGTCCACTCGACACAAACTAGGTCATTTCGGGACTAACATGATTTAATTTTATTTCAATAATTCGCTTTGCGCGTAGGGGTCTTTAGCAGTGGGAGGAAACCGGAGGACCAGGAGGTTGGACAGGCGACCCTACTCCTTGTCACGTACAACCGGGGATTCGAAACCACGCCAGTTGACTCAATGATACATCACTCACGTGCTAACCATTCAGCCATAGAACTCCGTAGTACACAATTTTCGAGAGCCCCGCTTAACACCAACTAAAGATGCATTATGCAAGAGCTAAACCTGCCTAATGCAGGTCTTTCTTTAGACCTTAAATTATGTTATATAAATTATAAATTAGACATTTATTAACTTGCCAAGACCATAATCAACTCTCGATGCCATCGGATGCTCTAGATATTCAAAGGATTTATACAGGATTGGCGGTCACTGATTTTAATTTAAAAATGGATAATCAAGACTTTGTTTACTATCGTAACAACGGTAGCAATGACAAGGCTAGTTTCCGCCAAGAAGCCGTCTTTTCGTGAAAAAAATATAATTGTATATGGCATCTCGTATCATTCTTCTAGGTTTTGTTCAATGCAAAAGACTAAATGCCCCTCCCCGACGACAAAAAGGAGCGCCACACGGGAAGGGGGAAAGTGCATCCTCTTTACTCTTGCTTCATACCTGATACGGGTGAAACCAGTCCACAGAAGAATTGCAAATTCCAGCCACACTTGAAGTATAGGTACGATCAAATAAATCTGATAAATTAGGGTATGACACCCTATTTATGAAGCCTCCAAATTCAGTGTTCGACACCCATATATATTCTCCTCTGAAGTCCAACCCATTACAAAGATAACAGAAAACATTTTTAAGCATCCCTACATCTGGACGATAAATTGGACCATAGTGTTGTTGACAGTTTGTTTCTAGTATTTTTGATGTATTTATTTTGCATGTTTGAATCATAAACCGATTACATTCTCTTGTTTTAGTTTTCATCTGTTGATTAAATGAAGACTGCTTTATGTATATTTCCTTTTCACATGAAAATAATTCTAGTACACGGCTACTCAATATCGTGTTTTCTCCTCTCATATCCAATTGCCATTCCTTATATTTGCTCTCATAATTACAAATTGCGCAGTATTTATTCAAATACGTTATTCCACTTTGTGCTGTCACGGGCAGCATACTACAACCACTAGATGGCATTTTGCATAATTCTCGTATTCTCTTATCATGATAATTATCCGCACATGACATCTTTGTTAAAATGCTTTTTTCCATTTTTGTCTGATTAATTGTAACTATGCACTGAAATTTGTCTTGTTCAGGTAGGGTATGTGTCGCAAGAGTGCAGCAATCACCGCTCACATGACATGACTCATCACAATAACAAGGCTGGCACTCAAAACCGTTGCGACGCATTAGACTTATGTTTAGCGTTTCTACAGGTATGTTAGTTTCCTCGATACACTGTTTATTACATTCTATTAGTTGTACCACCTGAAAGTAATGGAACAGCTCATCAAGCGTCCAATCTGAAAGATTCTTTTGAGTTAGTGCTACAATGTCGGTCTTTATTTTTATCTCTTCTACCTCTTTTTGGCTTTTGAGTCGCAATACATAGTTAAACTTATTACCAGCGGTTGTATTGTGGTTGTTTGGGTCGTATGGGGTAATGGAATAACTGTTATCGGGTCCTGCTCCAGGTGTGGTTGGCTGTAAATTATCTACCGTTGAAGGGTCGGGTGCTAATGTTGATAATACAAGACAACACAGAATAATTGTTTCCATGTCAGTATTTCTCATTACGAACGGTCTTCAGATTCTATGTTCACCTAAAATAAGAAAGTATATTATCATCAAATAGCTGTTTATAAAACCCATTGCTGAAAAGGAAGGTTACACCATGAGCCACGGTGATTCAGTGAGTAATATGTTAGGTCACTAAGCTGGAGGTTCCGTGTTCGTTCCCAGTTTTGATCGAGAAAGGTCATCGGTTTTCCGGCGTGGCTCCTAGTGTGAAGGCAGGAAGGCCTGACAATGGATAACGTTTAGTTGTTCGGAAGACGCGAAAAACCGAGTCCCGTTTACACATTGGCATGCACGTAAAGTATCCTTTGAAAGTTGGAATTTGATAGTGCCGATGTCCGGGCAAAATTCTCCGCATAACGGGCAACACAGCGATGCTCGGATGTAACCTTACATCCTAGCACAATTCGTTGCGTTAACCCAATCGCATATCAATTCTTATTTGCTAATAAACATCCATTACCTGCTAACAGTTATTGAGTCTAGCTAGATCATCTATTAGTATATCCCGACATGTGTTTGCCGTAGATAACGAATGTTATTAATAGATAACCTTATTTTTTATTAATTTGTACATGTATATTACGCTCTTATTCCTCGGTCGCCTGACCAACCTTGTGGGGTTTCTCCGGGTCCTCCGGTTTTCTATCACTGCTAAAGACCCATACGCGCATGTTAGTAGTGAGATAAGTAAGTAATTTCTTTACAGTCAGGTTTAAAACTGTTTACGTACGCCACGGGTATCGATGGATGCAATTGTAATTGACACACGTTGATACGTTTGATTTCGGATCACGCCTTTTCAAATGTATTATGTCCAACTATAATACAGTTGGCCTTTTTCATATCCAATAAAAACAAAATACACAAAACATCATTGCAAGATATATTCAATCTGGACAGTGCATCATTGTATATATCTATTGCCGATCTAATTCTAAGAAATATATCATGTTTATAAAGTCAGTCCATCTACACACGGCGAACAATTCATTCCCAAGAAAAAAAATCATGTTTATCGTGCGCTTTAGATCATAAGATCTGCCATAGAGTCAAATGAGTGGCACGTGACAAGGAGTAGGGTCGCCTGTCCAACCTCGTGAGTTTTATGGAACCATGTTAGTCCAGCAATGACCTAGTTTGTGTCTTCTTCTTTCTCTCATAAATATATTTGATTAGAAATCCATCAACGTAAAATACAGTAGGCCCAATACATATAAATATAATGTAAAAAATATTATACCTTCGTCTACGAAATATACAGGTCGTAAAAACTGTGACTGATCACAATGTGTCAAAGTTTATGTGTATAGAGAGGAATCGCAAGATTGTGTTTAAAGTAGCTAATTTTCTAACTCAATATCATCCAAAGTTTTCAAAATTTAAATCAACATTGTTGCTGTGATGTTACTGGGAAAAGATGGGCTTCAGGCCTCGAGTTCACAAAGCATTCTTAGACTGAAATTAAGAATTTACTCAACTTTGAATCACTGTTTATGAGAAATATCTTTGATCCAGAAACACAAAACTTTGCACATAGTTTCTTATTGATGTATTTGATACATTAAAACAACAATAGTTTTATAAAGAGCTATATTTTAGTTAAAATTTGGCGAATAATTTTGAGTAAATTCTTAACTTAAGTCTGAGAATGCTTTGTGAATTCGGGGCCTGATATCCAATATTTAAGACAAAATAAACATTTTACCATTGGTACACGAATCGTTTATCATAATGCATTTCAGCCCCATTGGTAACACGGGACTCGAAGAACGAGGCTAGACATATTCCACGAGTAATGCGCAATAAATACTATCTGTGTAGACTGGAATAACCCAGACGCTAGAGATTGCCATTCGATTGAGACTTCTGGCGTATTTCGTCGAACATAACTGATTTGAAATTAGATTAAAAACGAAAACGATTGAATGTAAATCAGTTTATATACATTCATATTACATTATTATATGCGTTGTGACCCATTTGTGTCAATTTCTAGGTCCCATATATTAGCGATTGAGCTCATTTAAACAAGATATTCAGGTTGTGTTTGAACAAGATATGCTGGTTGTGAAAAAACTGATCCATCTCCATATGACAAAGTATATGGAGAGAGGAGTTTTTACAGTGAAAAATCTAATGTGCATGATTGCTTCCTACTTGATGCGTACCATGCAATTGATCGACGCCGAAACTTTATTCAAGAACAAATCCGGGTTATTATGGTGTGTACGTGTGTGTGTACAGTGTGTAAAATTTCGGGAATATTATCAGTACTTCATTGTATATTTATAGTACAATAATGACTTACTTAGATTAAACATTATTAATATTTAAAACATTCTTTTAAGGGCTATATAATGCTTCCTAGACACCTGGAGTACCTAGGAACATTCAAATATTACCTGTTTAAAGGGTTATATAGGCATATCTACTAGTAGAATGGGAGGGGGGGGTCCAAGTGGGAGGGGGTGGCTGTACAATTAAAAAGTGGTATCAAATTCTTTAAATCTGAAGATGATATTATCTGGGTCAAACTTTTAAGATCTGGGCCCTTATTCGCGAAAACTTAAACTAAGATACAATCGAAATTTTAAGAAATACTGCAACTTCATTGGATATATGCAAATCGATTTTACTGGTCAGCCAATCGAATTGCAGTATTTCTTAAAATTTCGATTGTATCTTAGTTTAAGTTTTCGTGAATAAGGGCCCAGTATCACAATTACCATAGCAGCTATCTATATCCCCCTCAAATTTCCTCTAAATTACAACCCATTTGATACTTTAGAAAACGGATATTTTATAATAGTAAATTAACAACAAACTATGTACCTGGAGCTGATGATGTAAACACAACAGTATCTGATACAACTTCCGTCTTTCTTGATGCAACAAAAGCTTGTGTCAAGCTGGTCAAAATTAAGAAAATAACAAGAAAAATCATTAGTTGAACAAGAATTTTACCCTCAAAATAAATTTCTACGAAAAATATATTCGGAAGGTAAAAAACTATAATAAAAAGACTATGAAATTTAAAAAGTAAACACGCCAAAACCGAAATTCTAGATAAACTACGTGATCTACAAACGAACAACCCGCGTGAGTATTGGAAATTAGTAAATTCTTTCTTCAAGAAACTGTCTAATAAAGATTGGCATACGCCATACAGTGTGCTATGAGGGAAATTTTGCCTGGACAGCGGCACTGCGGCCTACTCTTATATCGAATTCTAACTGTTAAGGGATCTTTTACGTGCACGCCAATGTGTACACTGACCTCGGTTTTTCGCCCCATCCGAATGACTAGACAGCTGTCCTTGTCAGGCCCTGCGTCCTGCACCACTGACAAGGGGGGACCACGCCGAAAAATCTGGATGAACTTTCTCGGCCAATGCAGGGATCGAACACCCGACCTCCAGGCTAGCGAGCCAGCGCCTTACTCACTTAGCCACCGTGACCCCCAAAGTAAAGAAACAAATTATAATATTCCACTGAAAGTATGGGAAAATCATTTTTCAAATTATATTAAGGATCTTTATATCAATTAATTTGACGAAGTTGACCTTGCCCACGCACGATCAATGTTTTAGTGTCAATTTTCATTATAATATTCCACTGAAAGTATGGGAAAATCATTTTTCAAGATTATATTAATGATCTTTATATCAATTAATTTGACGAAATTGACCTTGCCCACGCACGATCAATGTTTTAGTGTCAATTTTCATTCTGATCGAAAACGTCGAGATGAAAGCATCTCTGGCACTAGCAACGTAATTGACATGCCGTCAATAAATATCAAAGAAACTTTGATCCGTCGTTTAATTAATTCAATTAAAGTAGCTAAGTCTCTAACTCAATATCATCCAAAATCTTCGATATTGAAAACACGATTTATTTGTCGGTTTAAATCAACATTGATGTTGTGATCTTACCGGCAAAAGATGTCCTTCTGATATCCAATATTTAAGACAAAATAAACATTTTACAATTGGTACACGAATCGTGTACCATAATGCGTTTCAGCCTTATTTGTAATAAGGGACTCGAAAAACGAGGTTAGTTATATTCCACAAGTAATGTCATACGGTGACGCTATATTTTTATCTGGAGAGCATGCCCAATAAATACTATCGGCGTAGACTGGAATAACCAGAAGCTAGAGATTGAAATTCGATTGAGAATACTGGCGTATGTCGCCGAACCTAAATGATTGGAAATTACAGTAAAAACAGAAACGATTGAATGTAAACCAATTTATATACATTCATATTACATTATTGTATGCGTTGCGACCCATTTGTGTCAATTTCTAGGTCCCAAATATTAGCGACTTAGCTCCTTTAAATTGTTTCAATTAGTTCGACATCAATTAATTGACGAAAAATTTGAGCGTGTATGGGCGGTTTTAAATGACTTGGTAAGATATATACCCCGTCTTCTCAGCAAATCCTGAGATTTCCTACAGTTTTATTAATCTATTTGACCCGCCAAAATTATTTGCCAAGGCAGTGGCTGTATGTGTGATTTTTGCTTTTGATAAGAGATCTAAATCAAATTTGGTGGTAACTATATTTAGTTACTGTTTGTATGAAGTATTACTTGTGTGTGCGTGTTTTCTGTATAATGTATTATCAAATGTATATGATTATGTCTAAAAGTACGTGTATATGTATGCATGCTGTCCTTAATGGACGTTTTGATGCAATAACTTATCTTATCTAATCTTATCTTATAGATCCTGCCAGAAATCCATCCACGCACGGTGGTTTTGAGAATGCAATGTAAACTTAACTTTAATAACAATTGAATATAATTTTAGGCTAACTTCTTACCTTTCTGTAGATCAAACCACAGCGAACAGACCATCATATAAAATTGTTAGAAAAACTCTCATATTGTGCTGTTAGTCGTCTATTTTTAGAATAGTTCGCGGGGTTTCGATCAGGTGTACATAATGCCATCGTTAATATCCCATAATTAGTTCAGCTAAAATGCCAGTTGCAAATCTTATTTAAAGAGGCAGTATCATTGTCATCCATGACGTATGCATGCGAGGCCGTTAACAAGAGAGAGAGAGAGAGAGAGAGATGGGTTTAACGTCCGCTCGACACAAACTAGGCCATTTCGGGACTAACGCATGGTTCACTTTTGTTTCAATAATTCGCTTGCGTGTAGGGGTCTTTAGCAGTGCGAGGAAACCTGAGGATCCGGAGAAACCCCACGAGGTTGGACAGGCGACCCTACTCCTTGTCACGTACAACCGGGGAATCGAAACCCCGCCAGTTGACTCAATGACAGACCTTATGATACAGCGCACGCGCGCTTACCATTCAGCCATCCAACACCCTGGCCGTTAACAAACTGATTTGGTGTAGTAAGAGAGAGAGAGAGAGAAATGGGGTTTAACGTCCACTCGACACAAACTAGGTCATTTCGGGATTAACATATGGTTTAATTTTATTTACATAATTCGCTTGCGCGTAGGGGTCTTTAGCAGTGGGAGGAAACCGGAGGACCCGGAGAAAACCCACGAGGTTGGACAGGCGACCCTACTCCTTGCCACGTACAACCGGGGATTCGAAACCAAGCCAGTCGACTCAATGACAGACTTAATGATACAGCGCGCGCACGCTAACCATACCTTGAAAAATACAATATCTTTGTTGTTAATGATAAATATTAGACATATCGAGTACAAAGAAAAAGAAGAAGTTGTTGGGATCGGGACAGGAATGGCAATCACGCCCCAACTCGAAAAAGCATTAAGAAAATTATACCACGCGCCAAAAGGTACATTTGTATCAAATTTTGCAAAAATGTAAACAGGCCCAATTACCATCAAATCAGTGATTACTTTCTTCGCCAATCGGTGAGCACGTGATTTTACCTCTATAATTAGAAATTATGACACGTTTTTCGTTAATAGATCGAATTTCAAAGTTTCTAGGGTTGCTAAGGAAGCAACTCGCCAAAATGCGATTCTAAAATAGCTTTAAATACAGTGGATGAAAACAGCTGTCTGAACACCGGCTGTTAAATAACAGTGAACTCATTAAATTGCCTTATAGAAAATTGCTTCAAAATTGTGTTCATATTTATGGTAACGCGAAACAGTGTGATATTTATGTCCATGGTAGCGGGGCTATGGCCTACTTTTATTTAAATTTCCAATTGTTAGAGGTCTTACACGTCGCGTTTTTGTCCATACACTCAATCGACAAACTAGACGCCTTTTCTTGCAAATGGTTAGCGTGCGCGCGCTGTATCATAAAGTCTGTCATTGAGTCGACTGGCGTGGTTTCGAATCCCCGGTTGTACGTGACAAGGAGTAGGGTCGCCTGTCCGGCCTCGTGGGTTTTCTCCGGGTCCTCCGGTTTCCTCCCACTGCTAAAGACCCCTACGCGCAAGCGAATTATTGAAATAAAATTAAACCATATGTTAGTCCCGAAATGACCTAGTTTGTGTCGAGTGGACGTTAAACCCCATCTCTCTCTCTTGTAGCAAATTGAAGAAACACAATAGAATTTATGCTGAAGAAAAATCTTTCAAGTGTGACTGAGGTGTGATGGTTGTAGCAAATTGTGCAATCATACTGGCAACTTAAAGATACATATTAGATTTCACATTTTAGAAAGACATTTCGAACGTGATTTTTGTGGTTAATCATATACTGACAGGACGATTTACCTAGTACTGCCCAATACTAATTTTTATTACTACTCGATACCATAGTGATCGACTGAAACCTTGAAAAATAGTTCTAGATGGTTCATGCAAAAGAGAAACTTGTGGTGTTTGTAAAATCATTAATGATCTAAAGTTACAATTCATACCGGGGAAAAAAACATTTTAAACTCGTACTTAAGAAAACCCTTTTGCTTGTGTTTGCAATAAATCATGTAGAGCGAACAGCACGAGGTTGCACATTGGAGAAAAACCTTTTATAATGTTGTAGTAAATCATTTACCACTATTATTAATCAATAAAAACACACGGAACTACATAATGGAGACAAAGCTGTATACACGAGTACCCAAACTGGGGAACAACACCTTTCTGGTGGTGTGTAAGCCTATCGATACTCACCACAGCACAGATCAAATTTTCGTGATTTACATTTTTTGTTTTGAATATATACTCAGGCTGAAACGAACCTTTGACATTTGGTTCGATTCCCCGCTTGTACGTGACAAGGAGTAGGGTCGCCTGTCCAACCTCCGGTTTCCTCCCAGAGAGCATAAAGACCCCTACGCGCAAGCGAATTAATGAAATAACATTGAACCATATGTTAGTCCAGAAATGACCTAGTTTGTGTCGAGTGGAAGTTAAACTCAATTCCCTTCTTTTTTTGACATTCGGAATTCCAAAAAAAGTAGGCCATTTAGTCATTTGGATACACCCACGCGGTCTCGGGTTCGCCCCTGGTGTTGGTCGAGAAAGTTCCTCGGGATTCCCCGGCGTGGTTACCCCTTGTCAGTTTTGCAGAAATAACCTCTGGTCATTCGGATGTGATGTAAACTCGGGCTCCCTTGTATACGTTGGCGTGCACGTAATTGAATCCTTGACATAACTATAAAAAAAGAAAGAATAAGCAGCAGTACATTACATTGGGGTATAACATTTGTTTTTTATATGCTACACGGTTTTCCTACAACTAGCCTATTTCTTATAGTTTTCGTTTATCCTTTAATTATGGTTTTGGAATGCCTTGCTAATCATACACCATAGAATGCCATCAGTAACACAAACCTACTATAATTACAATAATATATTTTGGTATGTCATTAAGGATTATTAGACATTCAATTACCTGATAATTAAGTGTAGAGATATTTAAGTAGTTGAACCTCTAGCTCAACATAATATTCGAAATTAAGAACAATTTTGGTAGATTTCAATCAATTTGGCCTGAATATTAAAATATTTTAACTCAAGTACAAAACAGATGAACTGT